TAGGATATCATCTAATTAAAAATGCTCAATTAGGTGCTTGGTTCATGGTACCACTATGCTAATACAAAGCCATCATATTTTGTCCTAGCTTATGTGTGTTTATGAAGATTTAAATAAATTAAGATGAAATGTGGCTATCACACATCTGTGGAATGAAATTTTTATTCCAAGTCTCTACTTAATTGCTTTCCATGGGATAATTGGCTTCATTTAGATGCAACCTGAAGGACGCAGGTGCAGACTAGCACCTGTGATCTGCCAGCTAGCCCCAGCAACGTGAGGGTCTCATCTATGCAGGATCGGCCCCCTGTGTTTAGATGTGACACTCCCTAAGATACGACCAATTTCAAATGGAAATAGAAATCTCCTTGCCTACCCATGTTAAGAGAAATTGGGAACAGCTAAGCCCGTCTGAAATGTGGAGATTTACCTGTTTTAATTAGAAAGGAAAACAAACTGGTTGATTTGGGGAGAAGAGATTTTCCTTCTCTTTTCCTTTGCCTGATTCCAAATGTGGTCGCAATGAATGCGCGGGGAGAGAAAAGAACCCTGCTGTTTTCTGCAGGGAAATTAAAATGGAGCAGCACTTCTGTTTAAAACTGTGAAAGCGAACACGGGAACATGTGTGTCCTTAATGGTCTTTTTCCAGTCGTCATCTTGAGCATTTGGCTCCACGTGGCGTGCCAGCAATTGAGAGTTAGGCTTGCTCTCTCTGAAAAGTGGAAATCACTTCTCGGAGCAATATTTTCTAAATAGGTCTCATCTCAGGCTTAAAAGCTCATGATGACAAAAGAGTTATTATGAATAACAAACAAGAATTCTTGCAAAAGTTTGATTGAAGGAACAAATGATTTTTAATTTTTGGTTTGTTTTGAGACGAGGTTCACTGTGTATCACCCCATTTTCCAAATATTTCTATAAATATTCTAAAAGTTAATAATAATTGCTCTGGTGAATGAATTCTTAATTGTAAAAGACTGTATGCTAAAATATACTTCTGAGAATTTCCCAATGTCAGTAAGCCCTGAAAATATTTCAGTAGCAAAACCTGCCAAATTTAAACTTTAGAATAAGGGAACCAATGCACATTTTAATTCTTTAAGTAAGTTATCTTTCCTCGCAATATCACACATTAAATTTTTAATGTGGATATTTATTATTGCAACATGAACTGGCCGTAAGAAGTAATAACACAGTTACCACTTGATTTGTTGGGACGAGTGAGAGGCCAGAAGGCTACACATGAGGCCAGAATTCTACTGTTCCTCCCAAAGCCAATTAAGAACTCAGAAAGCAAAGGCTGCATGGATGATTCAATTGTAGGCTGCACAGCCGCTGTGAAGTCAGGTTTTGCTGTGCCCTGGCTGTGCCTGCTGATTAAACCCATATCTCTCTTACTGAAAATCTCTTTCAATTATAAATGAGGGAAAGTTTTAAGATGGCAAGAAAATTACATTTCCTTTAGAAATTATATGTGTGGTGTCTTCAACGGGTTCTTTAAAAATTGAGACGGCCTCATCTGCATGGATTAATGAGGCTTCTTCTCTATGCTTGCTCCAACCCCTTCAACTACGTATTCACTTTAAAAATCTGCTCCCAGAGATGGCATGGATCTTTTGTCCTTTGAATGGGGATTAGTTTCCTGAATCATTAGACCCTGCTAATTTTTCAGTTCACTGTTATTGTCAATGTTTTTGGCTGGAGTTGAAATATCAAAGGCTTTTCTGCCCCTTCTCGAGAATAGTGTCGCCTGCGTCATTAGCATCTGAAGGCTAACAACAAAGCGTCCCTGTAGTCCATCTGTTGTCCTCGTAGCTTACCCGCTGGTTCTCCTTCCCACACAGAAGTAAGACCTAGAGAGTCAAAGCCCAAGAATATATGTGGATTCATAGCAGAGTCCTTCACTCCTAGAGCCTCCTAATCAAGCTGAAGCTCATCTGGAAGTCTCCTCCCAGGGGAGTGGCTCTCATAGTCGAAGAAGATGCTATGCAAGCTACCAAGGTAGAGGAGCACTTGGTACTCCTATCTAGCTACCGCTGGGTCTGGTTCATAAGTCTATGAACCGTAACAGTGACTCAACCAGCACGGTATCCACAACTGTGCAATAATAGCACTTTTATCTCGGGGGTAACCAACAGCTGTCTAATTGGATTTATGGCTTACTCAAAAGGATGGAATTCATGCCTGATTCTGTAAACCCAGCCAAAAAGGAATTTTTAAGAGAAAAAACAACTCCTATAGAATCTATGCCTCAATATAAATTACAACAAGTAAATTATTAACCATTAGAATCACAATTATGCTTTCTTTTGTGGCACTCTGATCTTTCACTTTGGATGCTTGCTTCCTTCTTCTCTCTGCTTAATCTACTGGCTTTCCCAGGGTTCCCGGGTTCAGATGGCTACATGTGCAGCCTCATAGTCCTGGGCTTCTTATGTCTTGAATTCAAGTGGTTCATTAAGATATATGGTCTGTGAATCTTGCTTCAAAATTTTGGAAGAATTCTGTGGACCAAGGTTCATTCAGACATTGAGTCAACTATGGGTCAGGGAGACAGTTTTGCAAAAGAACATGTGTCTCTGAGTTTCACTATGCAATTCTCAAATATATAAAATCATGATCTGGATAGATCATATTATCTACTAGGCCAGTGGAACCCCCTTCCTGTCTTTCCAAAAGCTTACAAAGAGAAATGTACAGTCACAGCAGGCCTACAATGAAGAGGGCTCGTTGAATGAACTTAGATGATTGGCCCACAAAACCTAGGGAGTCACCTGTCTGAGTCTCCTCAGGACTGGGTTTACAAACCCATACCAAGGTACCATACATTTATTTATTTATTTATTTTTAATTGTATGTCTATGAATATTTTACCTACATGTATGTATGTACACTACATAAGATCAGTACCTGTCAAAACCAGAGAAGGCATTGGATCCCCTGGAACTGGAATTATAAATGGTTGTGGATGCTGGGATCCAAACCCAGATCCTATGCAGGAGCAGTAAGAGATCTTAATGATTGAGCCCTATCTCCAGTCCCATACTTAGTATCTTTACGTGGGCTGTTGGGTTTGAGCTCAAGTCTTTATGTTTCATGGAAAGTTTGTTACCAATTGTGCTCTCTCCTGGTCCCGAGTCAAATTTCTTTCATTTAGGGTAAAAGATTCATCATTCATTAGTATTGTTTCTAATTAATTAAGTAACCAATTGTTACTGCCTGTCTAACAGCAGTCAGAACCTCTGCCGTTATAACTGATTGCAAAGTCAATTGTAAAATCAAGAACAGAAATAAAAATAATGATTTCCAACTAAATCCATGTTGCTTGTTAAGAAAGCAATAGATACTGTGTGATAAGAGGAGACCTCTGCCAGGCAACTTCTGCAAAAGGAAGACAAACCCAAAACCTGCTACATGGAAAGAGTCAATGAGATAATAAAATCTAGCATTTTTCTGCCCACCAGAGGAGCTCTACTGGACTGACCTGTCCATAAACATCCTGCACAGCAACAGACAAAGAGATACTGGGCCTGGGGTGTCGGGGCTTTTGAGACCTCACAGTCTGCTCTCAGAGATACATCTCCTCCAAGGCCATAAGTCCTAATCTTTTCCAGTTGACCAACTGTTAAGTAAGCATTAAAATATATGAGCGTCATCTCAGTTAAACTACCATGTCCACTTTTAACAACAACAAAAAAATAGGTAAAATGAACATTCATCATCTAGGACTGTCTTTTCCCAGACCTCTCTTTCTGCCACTTCTCATTGCTCTCACTTTCTCAAGCATGGAATGCATGCTGAGCTTGGCCCTTTTTAAGGTCTGAGGCTGTCCATAGGGTACTGATGGTCCCTTAGCATCTTGGACCATAACCTGCTCAAGCTCTGAGTTATTAACTGTCGGGTCCTTGCTGTTGGACCTTACTTTTATCTATGATGAGTATTCACAGATGTCAGCATCCTTTTGAATTTCCATTCATCTCCTTTAGATGAAAGCTATGCTGCCAGTTTTGTATCACTATACATTTAACATCCTTTCTATGTGTCCATACATTTGATCAAATAATAAAAATGAAACTCCAGTTGTAGAATACCAAGAGAAAAGTTTGTGATCCAGCTTATTTTAACTTCCACCCAGTATTTATCCTTCCCTGGGTGTAACTGTAAATCTCCTATTAAATCTCTTCATTTCTCTATGTAATCCACAGTAAACAACCAATATGATGGATTAGGACCCAAAGGTCTAGCTGACTAGACCACATAGGTGGTCTTTGCATTTGGTCTGTTTAAAACTATTGTTTTTATTCCTGCCTCTCTGTAAATATATGCACACATATGTGCACAAGTGACCAGAGAAGTGTGTCACTTGGTGTGAGTGCTGGGAACTGACCTCAGGTCCTATGGAAGAGTGGTTTTAACCCCTGAGCTATTTCTCCAGCCCTGCATTTGTTATTTAATGGGTGCATTTGTGTGGGAAAGTAAAGGATCCTGGATTGAAACACACACTGTATTCATTCCACTAATGAAGAAATGGCTCATGGCACTTGATAGACTACACTCTACTTCTGTTAGGGGATAGGGGATTCTTGTTCTCTAAACATAGGGGAAGGACAAAACCCAGTGTGTTTGCTTCAGAGAAGAAAATGTTTGTTTTATCTAAATATCCATGTATTAAATCATATTGCACAACAATTGCTATATAAAAAGTGACTTTAGCAGCAACCATTTTTTCATCCTGGTTCTGAAGACTGGTAAGTCTAAGATCAAAAGTCCATTGTCTTATGTGGTTTGTAAGCAATTACTTCTTATATGTTTACACGCATCATGGGTAAAAAAGAATGAAGCTGTATGTCTCTTTTTTTTAAGGTTCCAGTGTGTTTTTATTAATTAGAATTGCATATAATTGTATTCCATCATACATGTAATACACGGTAACTTTCAAATACGCAGCTAAAATAACTTACAAAATCTAATACTGAGTACAGAATAGTTTTATCAATAAAAAAAGGAGGAAGATAATTTTGAAAACATTAAAATTCAGGTCATTATTTTACAATTTGGAAATCTGAATAATCCAGCTTTGAGATGACTTTCTCATTGTTGAAGTTCGCGCTGTCGATGTGGGATTTGGGACTTCCTCTCTTCTCCAGCCATTCCTGCATGCTCCGCACCTTGGAGATGGGGCCTTGCAGCTGTCCTTGCATGGTGCCCCGATCGGTGTTCTGGACCCAGCCTACCAAACCTACCTTTTTTCCCTCAGCCTGAGTGTACTTGTGGAAAAACACCCCTTGAACCTTTCCAAAAATTTCATAATCCACTGAGACCAAGGTGTCCCCTTCTGCCATGTTCAGACACTTGGATGATCCAAGCAGCCGACACTCAGGTTTCCCCGGCTTCCCCACCAAGCGCCTGAAATGCTCCAGAGACCTGTATGTCTCTTTTTATAAATATGCTGATCCAATGGAACATTAAAATCCTACCAGTGATCATATCCTCAAAAAGGATGATTCTTCCTCTCTTAGCAGCTACAAACTACTGCTAGCTCCACACTGAGGTCTTCCCTTCACCAGCTGGGAAGAAATTATCCAGTTAGTTTGAGATCCATTTCTCTGTCCCAGAGCCTAAGTGTGAGCTATCTTTGATGATATGGTCTTAACACATAGCTATGGTGACTAATCAATAGCAATGGCAATATTCTACGCTGCTTTGCAGACCCACGGTCCTTCCCTGACCCTAACTCAAAAGAAAATAGCCCATGCCTTGCACTTAAGTTTCCCTTTAATAACCCATGTTTTCTGGGAATGACATTGTCCACCCATGCAGGGCAACTTTGTTCAAATGTATTTATTAAGACAGGGTCTCACCCTGTAGCCAAGCAATACCTTAAACTCACTATGTAATCTAAGCTTGCCTTGAACACATGGTGAAATTCTTGCCTTAGTCTCCCTGGGTTAAGAATAATTCATTATGCCCAGGATAGGATGTTAACTCTTCAACAGAGATTAAATGATAGTATAGAGGGCTTGAAATCCCAAAGACTGTAAGAGACTGGGCAAATTTCAGTGATGTAGAAAAAAAAAATCACATGAGGCATGGGTAAGGCAGCTAGCTGCAACTGATAAAAGAAAATGGAATAAATACAAGGGGGCCTTGAAGTCATAACGGTTGGCTGCTGGCTGGATCTGGCATGACTTGAATGAAAGAAGGAGGATCCTAAGATTATATTGAGTGTAGGTGAAGGTTTTCTGTCCTGCCAGTCAGCTCTGTCCCATCAGCCAGCTCATCAAATAACCACACTGGGACTTATTATTAATTATAAATGCTTGACTGATAGCTTAGGCTTATTATTAACTAGCTCTTACATCTTAAATTAACCCATATTTCTTATCTATGTCTACCAAGTGACAGTACCTTTATCAGCACAGCATGTTCATCTCCTGCTTCCTCTGTGTCTGGCTTGCGACTCCCAGTGACTCTGCCCTTCTTCCTCCCAGCCTTCTCCTTTAAGTTTGTCTCTCCCACCTAATGCCTTCCTGCCCAGCTATTGGACAATCAGCTCTTTTATTAAACCAGTCAGCAGGCGTCTTGGCAAAGACACATCTTCACAGTGTACAAAAATTTTATTCCATAACAATTGAGATTGCTATGTGACCAAGACTGCGGTGCTTGGATGTAGCAGGGGAGAGAACAAGTGCGGAGAACAAAAATGCTGCTTCCAGTTTGAACAGGTGACACCCACAGTGTCTCTGAACACTATACTGCTGGGAAGACAAAAACAAAAGGACAGAGGAGATGAGAGGGTGTGTGGAGTTGATGTAAGAATGGAAATGATAGGAAAAAAATGAAACTTCTAAATGAGAAAGCAGAGAAAGATAATTACAAGTGTATGAAAGTGTGTGAAGGATAGACTTTTGGAGGGCATGGCCATTTATGATCCAGGATAAAGAAAGGGGGGAAAAACAAATGAAAAAAAAGCCATTGGAAGAAGTGCCAGGAAAGGGAACTCAGTGATTTAAAAAGCTAAGGAAGGAGATGGGAGTCAAACTCTATTCTCACATTAAAATCACGTGCAGGAAAAAAATAGGCATTTAAAAGCAAGAGAAAGAACTGAACTGTTACCAAGCTCAGGGCATTGTGCTAAGCATTTTGTATGTGAAATCTCATTTTGCTAATTATAGTGTTACACATTCAAGGGTGGTTAAATAGTACTAGAGGTTCAGATCCTGGCCCTACCATTCACTGGTTCTGAGAGCTTGGGAGAATTGCCCCTTTTCTACATGGCACTTAACTCATTATAGCTCCCAGGGTGAGTGTGGATATCATAAAGATGGTACATTTGAAGTTACACCATCATGTTACCTGGCTGCCAATTGAATATCATTGTCTTTCTTTTGACTTAACTTTTATGAACTCTGTTATCCACAGAAAGCCATGTGAGTTCACAGACCCAGCCTGTTCTAACAGTTTCATTAATAATTGAATATTCTCAGTGTCCGCATGTAGTTGGCAGTTAATCTTACTTGAACAGCAGCAGTTTCGTTCCATTCCGTGTTCTTACCTGTAGACATCCCTTGGTAATTCTTAAAGACAAGGTGGTGAATTCAATTCTGCAAGAGGTCCCATTTCAGGTTCCCCAGTTATCATGAAAGGATGCCTTTCCCAACCGCATCTTAATCTCTGCTGCTTCAAAAATGTGGTTCCTCATTTAATTAGCCATGGGGGTTGCAAAAAGATACCTCCTAGTCATTGCTACCCAACATTTCCGAAAAACTGAACCAAGAGAAGCTACAGCTATGGAGAATCACTGAGACATGCTTATTCCAATTACGATTCTAGAAAACGGTCTATTTGCAGGACACCACGCACACTCCACATTTAATACTCACGATAAGCGAAAGAAGCCAGTGCTGCTGTATTGGTAACTTATCTTACAAAGGAAGAAACTGGGGCATCGGCACGTAGGTCCCAGGAAAGCTGCGAGCTTGCACGCTTAACCTTTCGCCGCACTGTTGCTGTCAAATTCAAGCTGCACAGACCTGAAAGGCCCAGCACATTCGTTCCATTTCACCATATCATTTTTGTGATATTCCTTACATATATTTTGTGTTTGTGAGACTGCTTTCTAAGACTGACTATGTGCTTAGTCCATATCAAAAATACAAAGACCTGATACGACATCTCACTTAAAGAATAGCACCAAGCAGTTGCAATTTCCCACACCGCTCCCTTTATAAGAACCCGCCCCCCCCAAAAAAGAACTCCTGCTGATCACTAATCAGAAATTTTCTGCCTGACTTTAACCACTGCTTTGTTTTCACCTCGCACTGGGAAACCAGGATTTTCTTGTGGCGTTGACGGCTAGACAATTGATGTGTACACGTCTCTATTTTACCGTCACCGTGCTGATTTCTTTTCTTCGTCTGCCCCAACTTCTTATGCAGCTGGTTGACCTTATTTCATGAAAGGTGAGACCCTTCCTTTGTGAAACAAAATGGGAATATATAAACAATGGCTCATTCCACCATCATAAAATAGTTACTAACTTTTGTATGCATAAAGAAAATGACCCCTGAACACCTTTAAATAAAGTTACCACACATGCTCCACACAGCGTATCACATATATAATATATATTTGGAAATTGATTTTTTTTTCTCCAGGTTACATAAATTTATATGGAAAGGTCATTAAATACCATGCCAGACTCGCCATGTGAGTTTTGTGACTTCACACAATTCATATAATGTCTCTGTATCTGCTTCCTAATCCTTAAAATGGAAATGATAATAAGCCTTCCATACAGGAGACAAAACAGATGGAAAGTCTGTGCATGAGCGGATGGAGTAGCATATGCCTGTGGTCTCTGCTACTCAGCAGGCTGAGGCAGGAGGATAGCTACAGGTTATCAAGGACAACCAGAGTAAAATGGTGAGACTGTTTTTCAAAACAAAAGAACTAATTTATGTAAAGTTCTTAGAACCATTTCCAGGATTCATGTATAGTATACAATTACATCTGCTCCTCCCTTCCTTTTTCTCTTTCTCTCCTCCTTAGCTTTTTACCGCTGATGTTCTATCCTCCAGACCTCCTGAAGGGGCCACACTTACCCTAAGGTCTCCAGAAAGATCTCCCTGAAGCTTGAGGTCACTGATTTTATGTATTCCTCTTTTAGAATACACACTAATACTACTGCACTGGTTTTCACTTCTGTTAACACCATTTGCTGGTTCCCCATATGCAGCCATGGACACAGGAACTTGGGTGTTCTTCTTCAATATTGAGAAGCAGGCAGCTGTTTGAGCTATGCAATTGCCTGAAATTCTCACTACAATCTTGTTTTCATATCAGAACTATGTGAGTTCTTATTGCCTAAGCACCAGGGCTATGTTTATTCTACCCCAAGTCTCCTTTGTCTCCTCACCCTGTGGGAATCAGTATGTATTCACCGTGGTGGACCACAATTTCCTACACAGGTAGTGTGCTGTCTTCTCCATCATTTTTTTTTCCCATTAGACTTGTTTATTCAAGTATCTGAAAACACTCTTTCCACTTCCTCCCCTCCTCCCAATACCCTCCCGCTCCCCCCACTCCCTCTCCTCCTCCCTCACCATTCCCAAGAGCAGTCAGGGTTTCCTGCCCTGTGGGAAATCCAAGTTCCTCCCCCCTCCCTCCAGGTCCAGGAAGGTGAGCATCCAAACAGGCCAGGATCCCAAAAAGCCAGTCCATCCATCATTTTTGTAACTGCCTTTCCCCCAGCCAGCAATCCCCTCCCTGCTCTTCCATTACTCCTTCCCCTACCAGTTCATTGGCCACATGCATGAATCCTACTTGGGATCAGGTGACACCTTGTGACAGATCACATGATATGTCCCCAGTGTTGGGAAGTGCTGCCATATTGTATAAAACATCACTTGGAGAGTATGTGTGAGACCTAGTTCAGAGGCAGTTCTCTGGAAAAATTGTCAGTTTGTTATCATTAGTAGTCTGTGGCCAAATTAAAACAAAACAAAAACGCAGCTCATTAGAAAAGGAAGTATCTATCATCTCAAGTAGGGTTACAATGGAAATCCGTGCTCCCCAAGATTGGGAAGGTGGGCTAAGAGCACTAAGATTTCCTGATGTGAAGTGTACTCTCTCACTCTTGACACCAGATCCCAGTCCTCTCATTCCAACCTACTTCTTACTTCTACACACACACCAGGACCCTGATGCCCCAGCTTTTATCACATGTCTAAGTCGGTGCTCTGTGATTACTCTTAGCTTTTATGTTTATTTGTTCGGCTTGGTGACTCTCCTGCTATAATTTGTCATGACACTCACTTTTGTCAGCAGATATCTAGGCAGAAACGCTCCACTCTCAACCATTAGAGGCTGGGTTTCTGGTTCTGCTGGCATCTGCCTTTCAAATCCTTGCGGTACGATTATTGTGCTATGTACTTTCCTGTACTCGACTGTGGTTCTGAGGGAAGCCCCTGGCATGTGATCTCCCCATACTTTTTTATCATCCCTCATCCCTAATTGCCTCTGCCACACTGGCATCTTCACCTCCTCCACCCGTGCTCCGTCCGGCACAGTCTCGCCATCTGTGTGTGACAACAACATTATGGACTCCCTCCATGCATCCCTAAATGGGCACGGGAAGGAGTCAGAGATGGCAAGAGTGCCAGCTGGCACTGGTTGCTCAGCCCTAGACAGTGACGAATCGCGACCCAGGCCAGGGAGGATGGCTAATTGTAGATCACCAACGGTGCCATGGGACCGGCCTCCCTGTTCACAGACGCGGTGCATCCTCTGTTCTTTCTGTTCCTGTAACAGCAGAATTGGCTTTCTTTTATGATGTGGTCACAAAAGGCTGTTCAGTGAGAAAGAACGGCAGAAATCGCGTTCTGGATTATTCTACTTTTCCCTTTTTATCTCTGAAAGAGCAGTATTGAGAATGTCCCACGGAGTTCGAGAATTGCTGGAAAACAACAGGAATGGGTTTCCAACTGTTCATCAGGAAAAGAACTATGGCAAATTACCTTGTTCTCGTGGACCAGTCTGTGAACAAGCTGCTGGAGTCCTGCCTATACCCACCCATCAAGTCTCAAATATTTTCTGTTCTTTGTGTCTCATAAATAATTGATTCATTCATTCATTCATTCATTTCTCTCGGAATGCTATTTACAGGATTATATCAATCAGACAAGATTTCTGATTTATTTCAGATTGTATCAATCAGTTCAAGATTTGTGCTGTAGATTCAAATTTAGGTACATCATGTTACAGTGGTTTGTTAATAATAGTTGATTTTGATCTATTTACTGTTAAGAAACTTCTATACTTTATTTCTATTTGGTGCCTTTGTACTGAGTTCTCCCATGTGTGTGTGGTATATATGTGTGCATGTATGCATGTGTGCATGGTATGATGTGTGCATGTGTGTGTGTGTGTGTGTGTGTGTGTGAGAGAGAGAGAGAGAGAGAGAGAGAGAGAGAGAGAGAGAGAGAAAGTGATTACTTCACTTTCAGTTCTCTCAAAAGGAACTGGGAGCTCAAAGTTCCCCACTAAAACAGAATGCTCTTTTTCAGAGGAGGAATTTACACGCCGCTTTCACTTCTGTCTCTCTGTAATGCCTCCCACAGACCCCATCTATTCTCCAATCAGATAATCTCTTCAGAGCTGATAAAGCTAAGACATAGAGAAATGTGCTTCTAGCAATGTGGAGGAAACATCCAAGATACACCTTGTGCATATTTGGAATTTAGAAAGTAGCTGTAGACAAGAGCTCCATTCGACGGGGGCTGTTTTGTATTACCTATCTCTTAATCTTATAGGAAATACACTTACTCAAGATTCTTCCCTGTTGTTACAAGGAAAAGAACCAAAATATTTGAATCAACAGAGAAGGCTGAGAGAAAGGCTGGGGATTTGCCAAAGGTACCAATCAACAACATGGAGAGACACAGAAGATGGTGTGGAGGTGTCAGCGCTGTGATAGCAGGCCACTGGCTAGAGAATGTTAGACTACATCCTTGAGAGCCAGAAACTAGTCACGTGCAGGCGACAGGGAATGGAGTGTGATGTGGCCTTCTTGAGTAAGGAGAAAGTGTGACTGATGTGACCATAAGAAAGACATCCATGTCATATGATGGGGAATGTGTACTTGCGCCACACTACAGCTGGGAGAAAGGCTTCTGGGTCAGAGAGGAAAATCATGGAAAAGAAGTGAAATGAGAAGGACTGGTGTGTCCTTAACCCAAAGGAATCCTAAGAAAAATGGTTCTTTCTGTTATGGTGAGGTGGACCCAAGGAGTGATTTCTCAGGAGTTGTGATAGCTCCAGAAGGGTTAGAACAGGCAGGTGTGAGGCTGTTTGCATGTTGAGAATAAAGAATCTATAAATAGCAAACAGAGCCTCTCTGTGCCAGGACTGACCTACCTTTCTCTCTCTTCTCTCTGCCAGGACTGACCTACCTCTCTCTGCCAGGACTCTCTCTTCCTATCAGAACTGATCTACCCCCCACTCTCTCTCTACCAGGACTGACCCCCCCGTGTTCTCTCTCTCTCTCTCTCTCTGTCTCTCTCTCTCTCTCTCTCTCTGTCTCTCTCTCTCTCTCTCTCTCTCTCTCTCTCTCTCTCTCTCTCTCTCTCAGGACTGGCCTACCTCTCTTGTACCCAGACTGACCTCTCTCACTCTACCAGAGCTGACCTTTGTTGCTCCCTTGTCTCCCTACCCTACTATATAGGATGCAGTTTTAATGCTGCGTTACAGATCGTTTTTGGTTTGAGGTTTCTTTTGCCTGGGGCAGCGATCTGTTTAGGGAATAGGCTATTGTACTAGTTTTAATACAAATCCATTGTGTGACTCTGAATTAGTCATTCTAGAAATGGATGAGAGATTCAGAGGTGTGGCTTTTTTTGGTAGAACTACTGAGTAGCATGCACAAAGCCCTGGCTTCTTGGATTCAGTACTTAGCACTGCACAAATTGACCATGACAGCAAATATCTGCAATCCCAGCACTCAATAGAGACAGGAGTATTAGCAGTTCAAGGTCATCCTTGGCTTTAGAGTGTGTTCAAAACCAGCCTGGGCTACAAGAGACTCTGTCTCAACAAACATGCAATGTTCCTAATCCCTCGAAACAGTCTGGCTTCCCTTCCATTGCCTGACACATAGTTGTGAACAAAAGCAATTTTAAATTGAAGTTGTCTGAAGACATCTGACTGTATTGTCTTCCTATAATAATTAGCTTGATATCGTTAAACAACAACAAAAAAACCCCACCATTTTACAAGCATTTTTCTCACTTTAGTTTCCTCATTTTGTCAGTGCACTGTCTGCACACACACACACACACACACACACACACACACACACACACACACGAGTTACATATAGGCAATCCAGCCATAGTCAGGACTGCTCTCTGGACATCAGCTTTCTTATCTCTGAGAGATTGGAACCAAAGGAGTCTTACCTTCTCCTCCCACCTCAGCTTCTACAACCTCATAACCGCAAAGCCTTGTTTCCTCACCACCGCTTTCATTGCTGTCTTATCTTGACATTTTATGTCTTCCAAATACAGAGTGAAAAATCATGTTGAACTTTAGCTAGGCAGTGGTGATTCACACCTTTGATCCCAGCACAGCAGAGACAGGCGGATCTCTGTGAGTTTGAGGACAACCTGGTCTACAAAGCGAGTTCCAGAACAGCCAGGGCTGTTACCCAGGGAAACTCTGTCTTGAAAAGCCAAATAATAATAATAATAATAACAATAACAATGATAATAATGTTAGACTTACATGTTCCTTTAATTCCTCATACTCATCAAAACTATCTACACCAGTGAGCATCTGGGAAATTCATGGGTCAAAAATTAACTGATAGTTGTATCTCCTTATGTCTAAATCTTGTGAAGGTCATGTGTCTATGATAAGATATGATCCTTGGTTTTCTAGTAGGGAGCATTTTGGAAAAGATTAAAAGTCATCCCTGATGTAGAACACCTGTCAATAATAAAGGCATGGTTCTGAAGAAGCCTCTCATTCCTGCTAAACTTTTGTCTTCCTCTCTCTCTCTCTCTCTCTCTCTCTCTCTCTCTCTCTCTCTCTCTC